AAGACTAACTTTCAGACAGCACGTGCTGTTAAATCATTTGCCCTGGAGGTATCTGTCTGAAATTGATGTGCGAGTGGAGGTGTTGTGAACATATGTTATAATTATGCTGAAATCTAAGATCAATTGAATAAAAGTTACACAGTAAACCTCCTCCTCCTAAGTGTAAAATTCTTTTTCAGATTAAGACATTGCTTTATTATTTGCATTTGTGTTCAGTGGTCAGTGACATTACGGATCGTAACTCTGTCACTTACAAAGCTACACCTCCCCACCCTCCACAAGGTTCACTTTTATGCCTTCAATCCGTAATCAAAATACCTTTAGGGCATTCTTTGGAGTATTTAGTAGTCGAGAAATTACGAAACAAAAACATTAATGTTAACGAAATTTTGCCTTCAATTTCTTTTTCCATTTATATCTGGATATATTTGTATGCGTATTTTCGAGTGATGACCTCTTTATCCGACCTGTTTACTTTTGTTTTCTTGTGCGAAAGCGATCTTGGGAACCAAGAGAAAATGAGGTCTCTTGGTTATTACAACATTATCGCATTCCTAGGTAGTACAAGAGACAGAAATTTCTCAGTTTGAAGTAGCATACGCTACTGAGGTAAAATTTTAGCCTAATATGGTCTTAGCTTTCGTGAGAGACCTCCTCCCGTAGGAGACCACCTAGGCTTGACATTTTTGGTGGTCGCTTACGGAGGTTCGACTGTATATTATACAATTTATGACTTGAATTATAGCGATAGCTCATCGCAAACCGAGATTACAAAGTTCTCGTAATATTCGAGGATACATACCTTTTCTCCACCAATGGGTAAAGAATCAGATTTCAACCGTTTTAGATGGATTCGGCGTTCGATAGATTTTAGAATGAATCGAGTTAACGAAAATATAAATACCATTACATAGTCACATCCACGCAGAACAGCAAAATAACGATAATTAGAAATTTCTTTATTACTAAGGAATTCTTAAGAGTACAAAGTATAACAATGCTTTCAAAAACAACACGATGTATTTGAACTTTATATCTTATATTGAATAACGAAACAGACTCTGTAAATTCCCAAGTTAAACATCCTAATTTATTTTTTTCATACTAATTAATCTGTTAAAATTTTAGTGTTATATTTTCACTTTTTTCTGTTTGGCGCTTTAATCCTTAATTGTTCTTTCTTTCATCACGCATTGTTAAACTATTTATTGCTCATTTTTACTTGGTGTTCTTGTGCTAACGATGGATGATGTTTCATCCTAAACATGTTTTGTTATTAAATTTAATTGGCTATTAATTTTAAACGCGTCATGTGGCTTTTAAAAGAATTTCTTTATTATCTCGCTCGAAGTTATCAAACGATTGTGTACTAAGCTATCATGTCTCGTTTATTTTGATTGTTGGCCTTATTTTCTTATTTTTGCTTTACT